ATAAAAAACAACTTCATATAGTCTTTAAAAATATATAATTTAAAAGATTCTTAAAATATATGAGGACACTTGAATGCAGGCTTACAATACAGTCAACGTCATTTGTTGTCTTGCCATAGTTTCTCTCTTTGATCTGCTTTGGGTTTTTAGGGTTACCTTTATCCTGGAACAGCTTCAGCGCTTTCTTCTTCAGGTCACTGACCGTCTTCTGCTGCTTTTTGGAGTGGTTTAATTTAAGAACCCCCATCTCACCTCCAGGTGAGCGAACAGACAAGCTGTACTTGCACATTGTGTTTGTCTGGATCGTGTGTGAGGCGGAAGAACTTTCTTCAGGTTGTGAGAGGATCAGATGAGGTGATGGCTTGTTAGTTAACGTCACTTTCAAGGCTTTGTCAGAAAAGCAAACCAAAACATGCCCCGGGAGGCTTAGGGAAGATCCATATCTCGACAGTTTCACTATCATTTTCTCCCAAGCGAGTTAAAAGAAATCTTATGATTTATTTTAACATAACATTTTTTAGACTGTGGTTCGATAGTTGTGTCAACCACTTGAACATGGCCAGTAGGCTATCTGTTTTTATTATTAATGATTCATCCAAGTGTAATTTCTGTACCTATTTTAATGTTTTTGTACATTTTAATGTACATTTAACTGCGCAAGACTCAGTGCCACCCGAAGACATCATACTCCCTGAATTCTCTGAATATATTCATTATTTTAGTGACTCCCACTAAACCTGAAAACTGTACACAACTGCTCTGAGATAGTCTGGAATGAAAACCAGCCTACCAGCCTAAACTTGAGTTTTCAAGATAGACCACTAAAAACTGGAATAAATGACCAAGAGCGTCTCTAAAGAAAGGAACGAACAAAGTCCGCAGAGGCGGGTTTCTCCTTATCAGCGCTCACTAGGCCAAGTTCCATGTTATCGTCACTCAGAGTCAGCTGTTGCTATGCTCATGACCGCGGCCGACGTTTTTTGGCTGCATCTAGAGCGACGATGGCCTCATCCACCGGTCTGCTGCACAGGTAATACTCAGCGTGGTTCACTTTCTCTCTCTGTCTCTCTCTCCCCCTCTGT